TTATATTACTAAAATCGTTATCATCAGACACCTCTGCAGAAGAAAAAAAATGCAATATTCGAAAATAAAAAATATATTATTTGTAGCTCCATGATGTAAGAGGTTTTTTTTAAATACATCAATCAAATTATTCAGAAACTGACAGTGCTTCAATGACGGAAGATCAGTATAATGAATCCATTTAAGGAAACTAGTCCCATACCCTGACTTTCACGTTTTGGTGGGACCTAAGGTCTTCAACTTTATTTACCCGAATTTATCAGACTTCTGCTAACCATGGTATTTCAAAGGGAATCTTTCTACTGATCGCTGATATCAAGGTTTTGGGGAATAACTCGAGTAGACATTGTGAAAACGAAGAAGGAGCGCAGGATGAAAATAAGCCATGATATATTTTGATAACTTTTTTGTCCTTATACTAATTACATTATTCAGAAAATAGCAATAGAAAACAAATTTCAATGAAGAGGATATTTGTATTCTATTTGGATATACGAGAGGAAGCGCCCAAGTCCATCAGCATAGATTTTCGTTCTCCAGTTTTTAAGATAAATGTTAATATTTCAGAATAATTGATACATGGACATGTATTATGTAATGAATTTTGCCCTTTCAAAATTATAAAAACCTTTTTTATAAATCAAAATTATTATGATGGACTTGGATCTATCCTCTTCTCATGTATTCAATTCTTAATCAGCCCAATTATACTTTATTTTGTTTTATCATAGTACCGTTGACATAATTTTTCTCTTCGGCATCATTCACTTCTTCGTAGTTAGCTTCTTGATCAGGTTCTTGGTAGGTATGAGGGTCGACAGTATCATCGTAGCTCTGATCATCGTTATTACAATCTTGGTAGGTATGGGTGATAGTATTTAAGTCTTGGTAGGTATGGGCGTCTGTCTGTGACTGATCAAATACAGGGTTCTCATACTGCGGAGACGAATCGGACTCCCTCACTTTAGACTTAGTAGTGGCTGATTCATTGCTGAAAAATAACAATATTAAAGCATATATAAATTGCATTAAAGTGGAAATTCAAAGAAAATCACAAATATGTCAACTAATGTATCACTAGAAACTGGTAAGCTAACAGATGACCATCGTACAAGTTTTAAGCCAACTTCATATCGGGTGATTTATAAAAAAATCAAATACTACGACCTCCATAGCATCTGGGATATACGAGAGATTCGCCAGAAAAATAACGATGTTTTAATGATGTCACATAATGGACTATTACTGCCCAAGCAGATGACATCCAATAAAGAATGAACATAATTGCAAAACCATTATTTCTCAAATTATAATGAGTTTAGTGTATATAAATGTGATGGCATTTCAAACCATTCAAAAGGGGATAAAAAAAAATCGTTTCTGATAACTAAAATATTTTGTTTGTAAATACACAGGATAGTGGTTAATTAACAATAAAAAAAAAAACAGAATTTCAAATTGAAAAAACCCGGAATGATATTAAGGACGGAATTTGTTCCCTCTTGAAACGCCGAACATACCGCGGTGTGTGCAGTTAAATATACAATGGCGTCTTATTTTGTTTACAAGCGACAGATTCCTTTATTTTTGTATCGCTGCATTTTTCATCAAAATAAAACTTTGCGCGGGGTTTAAAGTGAGGCAATAGATTATACAATTAGCTTGACGGTAGTGAAGTAAGAGAAAGAACTCGAGAGAAGATGAAAAAACAGGCACTGAAAATATGTGAGATGTCATGGGACATCGTCTGCTTGTGCAAATCATGTCCATCCTGTGATCTCACACATCTCAGCAGCGTTCGGAGAGCTCTACAGGTGCTATGTCGGGGCTGTATTTAAGCGTTTTGTTATTTATAATAATCATTACTTCAAATGTTTCAAAGCATTGCATTTTGATAACCTTGTCGAATCAAAATTTCAACTTTGCAATAATGAAAATAAAGTTAGTTTTTAAAATCAATGAGTATCTCCTTTAATGAAATACGTGATTTGAAAATCATCAACTCCCGATAAATAGGTATATAGAAACACGTCAACATGAGGTGTAGGAATTAGTGTGGTACTTTTGAAATACATGTAATTTACATAATAAGTATTTTAAACAGGTTGCCATTAAATTTGAAAAGCGTTATGCTTTGGAATACTTTGGACAACATTACAACAAAAGGAATTAAATAACTTAATATTTTTTGTGTATAAAGTACAATCTTAATTCAGCTTGTATTCTCATAACCATACGGTTTAAGCCCCTTGCGTGGAAGAATACGATGAGAATCGACTGATGAGAACGAAGGGTTAAGAACAAGGTAACTCTCTAACCTTCTTCGCTTGTAAAAGATGATGATGAGAACTATAACGACAACAACCACAAGAATAGTACCAACAGCGCTTCCTATTCCAATGAAAAAAATTGAAGAACCAGAAGTTGGTTCTGTTGGAGAAGAAACAGTAGGTGAAGAGGTTGTTGTGGGAACTAGGATGGTAGTGAAAAGAATGACATAAATTAGAAATACCAAGGTAGCATCACAGATAATGGTTAAATAATATATAAAGACCCTATGATTCGAAGTAAGCCGTTTGGAAAGTCTTTGCAGTCGTAATGAAAACAAATTGATACCATACCAGGTCCTGTTTGTGATTCTGTGCTTTGCGGAGAAGCTTGCGTATTAAAAGTGAATGGTGTCGTTAGCCTTATCTCTAAAAGAATGAAAAACAACGTTTAAATTTTAGGTTTAACACTAAAAATAATTCCTTAAATAGCAGGTGGGCTAGAGTGGCAAATTAAAAGAAACATCGAAACTAAAGTTGAGAAAAATATAGATAGGCAACTGTTTGAGGATTATAGAATCAGACATTATAGCTCTTGGTTACTACAAAGCCAACCCCCAGATGTAAATTTTAGAGAATTGAAGTATTCTAAAAGTCCATTTTATTTATTAGGCGTGCGTTTTTCAAAAAAAATCGAATGATTTATACGAATTAAATGTTGTGCCAAAATTACAAACTTTAAAACGAATCTTGGGAATATGGTCGATGAGAGACTTAAAACCATTGGGTAAAATTATTACTGTATACAAAATTGCCATTTCCCAACTTATTTTTATTTCATCAGTATTACCGAAACCCACTGAATTTATTACTTCATGAAGTTGAATCAATTAAATACTCTTTTATTTGGAATCGTGAATCAACCAGACAAGATAAATCAGAAAACAATTATAGCAGATTATAATGAAGGGGTTTGAAAATGTTACATTTACCGTCAACTATTATGGGACTCAGGGTCGCATGGGTAATGAGATTGTTAAATACAGAAAATAAAGGCAACTGAACACGTTTTTTAAATTTTATATGATGAAATTAGGTTATGATTTATTTTGAACTTGTAGTTTAAAAAGTAAAGTGCACTGAATTGATGAAAATTGAAAAAAAAAATTGGTAGCCTGGAGTGATGTTACTTTTCTTGAGAACCCAGGTGATCATTTTATTCATAATCAAATTATTTGAAATAACTTATGTATCATAATAAATGGGAACGTTTTTTAAAGTCTGATTGGATAAATAATGGCGTAATACAAATTAATCATTTATTACAATACGGTCTTTTTTTTTCATTATGATGAATCTGTGCATACATACCATATTTGATGTAATTTCATGGAGTTTTATTCTGTTACGAATGCTCCCATTTTCGAATATGAACCAGCATTAAAATTTAATTGGTACGTTGAAAAAGAAAACTAAAATATGTAAATTAATTCATAAATTGTGCATTTATAAAATAATTCAAGTTCCAATTCTTCACAAAGAAAGTGAAACTCAACATTATTGGGGCTATGGGTAGGGGGCAGTTCACATCGACACGGTTTTGATCCTGGGGCCTCACAGTTACGAGGCCATTGCTTTGCCACTGAACTATGACTGTACGCAGCGGGGGCTATGGGTAGGGGGCAGTTCCCACAAAAAAAAGCCAAATGCAATCAATTATCAATAATTCATTGCATTTCCCCCCGGCCCCCAACATAAAAAAGTCTTCTGTACGGCCATGCATCATGGCTGAAGGCATGGGCAAACAGAAGATTTTTTTCTGATGGGGACCGGGGGGAAATGCAATGAATTATTGATAATTGATTGCATTTTCTTTTCTTTTTTTTATTTGTGGGAACTGCCCCCTACCCTACCTCCCGCTGCGTACAGTCATGGTTCAGTGGCAAAGCAATGGCCTCGTAACTGTGAGGCCCCATGATCAAAACCGTGTCGATGTGCTATATTAATGCCCTTTTGTGGGGCATTAATCCTCATTACTGTCATTTATGACTTAAGGGCATAGGTCCCCTATTTAATAAGCATAGTAGCATACACGTGCTTAAGCAGTCACGCAAACCAAACACTGACAAATTATTATTCAATAAAATCTGAGAATGTATATTATTACCTAGATCTGTTAAGAATAAATCATTGTCAAAAAATTTCCATAAATTGGGGTAAAAAAAATATTCCAACTTTATGCGCATCAGTGTAATTACCATATGACAGGTACCAAGATGGTAATTTTGAGTATTAGGTGATTGTACGAGCGTAGATGACGAGATATAATTGTAATTTCAATGCTTAGTTTATTATTGTTACTTTCATCAATTTTTTAATTGATTTTATTATTATTATGTTTACTGTTATCATTATTAATATTATCATTAACTTTACCTTGAAGTTCACACATAGTGCCTGTGTAGCCAGGCGGACAGGAGCAGACGAATTCCGAATATTGATTAACATCGTCGCACGTTCCGCCATGTTCACATGGATCAGAATCGCATGGAAATACTGGCAAAGACATTGAAAATATATTACATTTTTGAAGTATTTTGTAAAAAAAATAGTGCTTTCATAATATCGGATCCAGCAATATTTTTCTTTGCAAAACACAAGATGTGTACATGTATTTCAAAAAGTTCAAGCAAGCAAGGAAAAAAAAAAGTAAATGATTTTTTTACAATTATTGTTTGTGAAATAAAGACTAAATGACATGAAACAATATAAAATCATCATAGTCATCATCATAATCATTACAATTATGTAATATCATTCTCACCAATGAGATGACAGATCGGACCAGCGAAGGAAGGAGGACAGATACACGTGAATCCTCCACCAGTCTGTTGACATGTGCCACCGCTCAGACAAGGGTTAGGATCGCAGGGGTTTACATCTAAATAAACAACAACAACAAATTGTATTAAGAGTAGTGATACTAATGAGAAGAATTATGCTTTGATAATAGCGACTACAGTATCGCATGGAAATACTGGCAAAGACATTGACAAAATATTACATTTTTAAAGTATTTTGTAAAAATATTGCTTTCATAATATCGGATCCAGCAATATTTTTCTTTGCAAAACACAAGATGTGTACATGTATTTCAAAGAGTTCAAGCAAGCAAGAAAAAAAAAGTAAATGAACTTTTTACAATTGTTTTTGTTATCATCGTTTGTGAAATAAAGACTAAATGACATGAAACGAAATAAAATCATCATAGTCATCGTCATAGTCATTACAATTATGTAATATCATTCTTACCAATGAGATGACAGATCGGACCAGCGAAGAGAGGAGGACAGATACACGTGAATCCTCCACCATTCTGTTGACATGTGCCACCGCTCAGACAAGGGTTAGGATCGCAGGGGTTTACATCTAAATAAACAACAACAACAACAACAACAAATTGTATTAAGAGTAGTGATAATAATGAGAAGAATTATGCTTTGATAATAGCGACTACAGTATTAGTTTTATAACAATAATAATAATTATAATTATAATTGTTTTAATTGTTTTAATTTTATAATTAAAATTTATATAAATGTAATATTATTATTATAACAACAATTACAGCAACAATAACAATAATAATTGCAATGATTGTATTAATCATAACAATAATTACAAAGATAACAATAATAACAACAGTTGGATTTTTACCGCATATTTCAAAGGATATGGTCTAAAAGCAAATTTAGATGAATTGCAGGGGTTATATTTTGAAGAAGTCTTGTGAAGTACTAAATATTAGAAATGCATGGGGTTTATTTTAAAGGTGTTGGGCAACGGATTGAAATGATTTGAAGCAAACCAGATATTTAGGGAGAACAGTTAACCCAGCCACGACCATTGCCCACATTTTGGGGTTCGGTTATGTTAAACAAAACTCTGCATTCAGGGTCTTTAGAATTTTAAGATTCTTGACCGAAAATGGTTTTTCAAATGTTGCTTAAAGCCAGGATATTTCATTGACGGAATAGTAGTATTAAAATCCCTAAATTACCACTATACTAAGAAGGAAATGTAAGTGGTACCAATTTAAAAAGTGACACAATATCCCCTAGAAATACTCGTCCTGAATATACAATTTGTGAAGATAATCCTGAAAATATGCAAAATTTTGAATGCTCCCCCCAAGTGTTTGAAATAAAACTACTTACTCTGAATGGTAGGTCCTTGGACCTTTACCCAAAATGTTTGATATGCTTGCACAAATGTAGCTCTGTAAAATAAAAGACATATACAAATGAATTATAAACATACAAATGAAATGAATGGGTCGTATACCAATCAAAATGCGTTTTATATGAACAAAAAAATAAAGATAATATGTTTTCAATATTTTGCTGCAAACTTGTCCCATCTGCTCTTCCTCTCGTCTTATTCTCGCTCTTTATTTACTCGTATCAATTTACATAGCGTAAACACCCTTCTAGCTCCTATCAGATGAATATTTGGTATAAAGCCTTACATGTTGTATGGAAGGTAAAGATCATTTTTGGAAACGCCCCCTCTCAAAAAATGAAACGGAAGCTCTTATTACCAATCATGTGAAAGAATATTGATATTGATTTATATATTTGGTAAATTATTATATCTAATTGGACCTGATAGATATCGCGCACGTATCGCGTAGTCCCATATACATCTTTCTGTGTACAGTGCTCGTAACAATACCAAGACTGGGCCAAATTTCTTATCATTTTGATGACACACCAATACTTATATGCTAGATGATCAACCTTTTCTGATCGATTCCACAACGTTTCTTTTACAGTGCAATCGCATGACCATAACTGGTCTTTATCTTTAACAAGACATCTATATATAACCCTAAATGATACATTAACCGGACATCATAAACTCTGGTATATGACGCTTACCCTAACCCTTACCCTAAATTCAAAACAATATAACTAATTAAACTAATGACTAATGCTTACTAATGATTACACCTATTGTTTCTCGCGAGGCCTTTAAGTTTCCACTGGCTGCAAACGAACGTAGAGGGCAGTAAGTATATTAGATGCTGCTTGTAAGTGTCGGCTTGCATGGTGATGTAGATACAGTAGGTTTGCGGTTGCACCATGTGTGTGAGAGAGAGAGAGAGGTTTGAAGTGTCCTGAAAAGGACTCTGACTCGGTAATCTTTCTTGGAGGAGTGTAGTCCTGAAAAGGACTGTTTGTTATCTTTCTTAGCATATAGTTCTCAGGAGAACTATAGCGCTTGGAGAGGATGAGTGGCTCGACGTTTCGAACAGGTTGACTATCCGTCGTCAGGATAGTCAACGGATAGTCAACCTGTTCGAAACGTCGAGCCACTCATCCTCTCCAAGCGCTATAGTTCTCCTGAGAACTATATGCTAAGAAAGATAACAAACAGTCCTTTTCAGGACTACACTCCTCCAAGAAAGATTACCGAGTCAGAGTCCTTTTCAGGACTCCTCAAACCTCTCTCTCTCTCACATCCATGGTGCAACCGCAAACCTACTGTATAGTAAGTATATTATTCAAATGCTCTGCTAATGACCATGTCTACTTAATGACTCACTTTTCACTACAAATGTCCGTCTAAAGACGCTGTAAGGGATATAGTATATTGTATGTAAATGTACTAAGTTTCTTATGATTTTCTCGAACTGTAATATTTGTTAATGCTTTTTAAACTCACACGACCTTGACATCAGATATTTTAGTTGTAGGCGCAGTCCACACAAACTCATTCGTCACACCTTTGACGGCATTGTTCCTATGCGTCACCACGTTGTTACTCGCTCCGTCACATGACCTGGCCTGGAAGTTCGTATCTGAGGCCGACACATTCCAAGACCCTACAATGCCATCATTGTCTACTTGCCTCATTTGCAAGAGGATTCCCTTAAAACCAGGAGAACCCGAAGCCGTGCTCATGGACACTGCAATTAAAAAGGACAACGTTCATTATTTCTTTAGTCCGGCTTGGCTTTGAGAATGCAACCACACATGTAAAAAAAAATATTTGTGTATGGTAATTGGGTACTACAGATTGTAAGGGAGGAGAGAGCCAACTTTCACTTTCTGATCATTCAGAAGAAAAACATAAATAGTTTACAAAACTGGTGAAAGTAAATAATATTTGCTACATCGAAGGTCATCACATCACACAGAGCCATGATGATAACTGTTAGACGGCTCTGATCATTTTAACTCAATTTATGTAATGGAGAATCAATTTTAGTTACTTCCTCGTTTAATCGATCTGTCCTCATTTAATGATACGAATTAAAAAATGCACTAGTAGTGGTCTTCACCACAGGAGAGAGAGAGAGAGAGAGGGAGAGAGATAGGGGGGGGGGGGGGCGAAAGAGAGAGAGAGACTCGATCCACATGCAGTTGTTATTCTATAATGATGATTATGTTGCAGAAGATTAATCACCTTTCTGTATCACCTTTGTATAGAGTATGTTTAAACCGTATGGGGGTATTTGGGAATCATGCTATCTCCGAAATTACTGTTACTAGGTTTCAGTGTTTGGTTTGTCCAATGCCTACCTGTGATTTGCTGACTGGCCGAGAATGTGCTCACATCAGCTGTCATAGTGTAGGGACTAGGACTAATCGAAGCTGGGATCTGATGACCAGGGAGCATGCTACTGCATATTTCAGGGTTGGTGGAGACCGGCGCCCCTGATGCCCGAGCCTCGGTGACATGCCCGTAAGATGCTACTAGCAAACAAATCAGGGCGAGCCTAGCCCATCTCGGGACGAAGCATTCATCTCCTCTCATCATTGCGTCGATGAAAGTGCCCTTTTTTTAAAGAAATAATACAGAATGTTCCCTTATTATCTGTCTCTCTATTTATTCGTATTTGATGGAGAAGATATTATTTTTTTATAGAACCATGTGAAGTCACATCATACAAAAAGTAATTGGAAAGTGAAAAGTGCTTTACATAATGATTTTAATAACTGGCATGTTGACTAGTTGCTTTCACTCACTCGAGTAAGGCAGGTAACAATAGAAGCAGAATGTCGCCTCGTCTGCAATAGGCAATAATACAAATCTTGAAGACAGTTGTGCAAAAGAGGTGAAACTGGGAGATTTATAAAATAGTAATAACTTGAAACAAAATACGAACCTTTTTCAGATATGTTCCTGGTTATCAATGAAGTGAAGACAAATTAAAAAGAACGTTACTCTCTGTGTTCCAGCGGATGAGATGGTGGTGCAAAATTGATACACATAAATAGCATGCGTTTTCGTATTTATCATAATAGCTGAATGCGAAATGTATTCATTCTCTCCTGTTATAATAACAGTGTTGAGAATGTAGTCTAAGTTCCAGAGTCTTTTCTCTAGCTTTGTTTTATATAATCATCAGAACCAACGGATAAAGGAGGAAGAAAGGTACTGCGTACCTTATTTCGTACCAATAAGTATTTTTATGCCAAGAAAAATATCATATCCACTTAATTGAATGCAAAAATGTGATATTTTTATTTTTTAAAGATAATATTCCAAATGGAATTAAACTAGCAGTGTGAACGAGAGAAAGAGTCATGCATAGCTGCCATGTCTACACAGATTGTATTGGAACCTGTGAAATATCTCACCCGTTTGATTGGGCTACCTACGGAGGTCATGGTTGTGATCTACTTTCTGTATTTTTCGCTTTGATTTGTTTCAGAACTTTGTGATGGTTCACTTTTTCCTAGAGCTATCTTTTCTCTGAGCTATTGTCTGTCATATTTCTTGAGGTGTGAATGGCCTTCCAAAGATATTGCGCAATTAATGACGTATCGGTAGACTCAGGATGTGGGTTGTGGTCAAAAAGAAGCCTCTAATACAGATTCCGATGTGATGGCTGATCTGAAAGAATTGCATATATCTTAATCACAGATGTTTGCAGATATTCATCATTTTTGGTTTGTACGTGTCTCTTTATTCGTCCCTCCCCTACTCTCACTCCCTCTCTTTCTCTCTCACTCATTCTCACTCTCTCTCTATCTCTCTCTTTCACTCTCTCCCTCTCTCCCTCTTCCCCCCCTCTCTCTCTCTATATATATATCTTTCTTCCTCTCTCTAATTCTCACGACAGCCCCTTTCGTTTCCTCTGTTTTATCATAATATCCAACAGAGCCATCAAAATAAAGATTTTATGCAAGACCACCAAATTCGTCCTCATGACGAATCAAATTTCTAGTTTGTTCCTATGATAACTTAAGATCGTTTGTGTTAATTTCTTTCAATTTTGGCACAGTTATAGGTCATTTGCATGAGACGTGAAAGGAACATTTTCAAGGTCATCAAATTATCGTGACGTCATCCAGGCGCCATTTTGTGAAATCACATTATCCATCATATCTTCATGATGCGTACTCAAAGTTCGTTCATATTCATATTACATATACTTCAGGTCAAGGGTCAACAGGTCATGTCATCAAAGGTCAAACAAAGGTCATGACGCGCGTAAACGCGCGGGTAAAAATTAAAAATTGCTCAAAATCACATAACTAATAAACGAGAGTACGAATCAGGTCATTAAAAGCAATTCAAAATTTTGCGCACTTATGCGCGCGCGTTTCCGCGCGTAATGGTATTTTGGAACATAGAATCGCCAAATTTTTCCATCATCATATTTTTCACATTTTCCCAAGCATTTTGATACCTTGTTCACCCTTTTCTGAGCATTGATAACGGAATGAGCGTCCGTTTAATATACATGTCCGTGCGTGCGAGCACTTGTAATACATAGCATATATGGGCAAAAAACATGCCTATACAAAATCCATTGTAGCTCTTTACGATGCAAGGTGACCCCAATTTTGTTTTCATAATGTTGATAGAGTATGAATCGGAGATATAATTTCATGTCTCATTGACCCTCAATTAACTCATGACGTCATCATAATGGCCTCCGAACTCAAAATTTCAATTTGCATATTATGACGTCTGCATATTTTAGGAAAATTGATTGTATCTCTGTAAATGTTGATCGATTTTCTTTCAAATTTTTATATGTTCTAGCTGAGACAATTCTCTACCACGTGTGATACACTGTCGCTCATAAAGGTGGAAAATATTTTTGTTTTATCCCAATTTATGGAATTATTTTCAAAATTATTTAAAAATAATAGATCTAGATAATAGTATACATTCTCAGATTTTATTGAATAATAATTTGCCAATGTGTGTTTTGCGTGACTGCTAGAGCATGTGTATGCTATTATGCTTATCAACTAGGGGACCTATGCCTTTAAGTCATAAATGACAGTAATGAGGATTAATGCCCCACAAAAGGGCACTTATATAGCACATCGACACGGTTTTGATCCTGGGGCCTCACAGTTACGAGGCCATTGCTTTGTCACTGAACCATGACTGTACGCAGCGGGGGCTAGGGTAGGGGGCAATTTCCATAAATTAAAAAAAAAAAAAAATGCAATAAATTTTCAATAATTTATTGCATTTTACCCCGGTTCCCAACATAAAAAAATATTTTGTGTGCCCATGCCTTGAGCCATAATGCATGGCCCTCCAGACGATTTTTTTAAAACGAATTGAGGGGGTATGAAACAACAACAGCATAAAGCTGCGAGTGCACAGGAAACACAAGTCGCTAAGTCGGACTTCGGTGCGGGCCGCAATTTTATTAAACGTAGGATGGCAAATGAAATGAATCGACGGATTATGCCTATGCAGCGAATGTGATCAATCATATCTCGTAATTATTCATGCTCTTGAAATAATTCAGTAGTAAAAATGTTATTTTAGATTCGAGGTAGAGTTCGGGTTACATTCAGGGTTCAGGTTGTTAGTAGGGACTTTTAGATTCTGCACGACGAGAACGCGGACTGCCCTTTCAAGGCAATGTGACGTCACTGCCAGAGCCTTAAAAGGACGTCACATTGCCTTAAAAGTGCAGTCCACGTTCTCGTCGTGCAGAATCTAAAAGTCTCTATTGTTAGGGTTATGATGACGATGACTTGAGATTGTGCTTCCGAGTAAGATATACAACATGGATGCGGTATGTGTACTCAAGCAACACGATTATTTCTTTGCGCAGATTTACGCGTACGCGTGTGCGCTTGTACGATTTTTTAATTTTTTTTATGTCATCTTCATTCCATTGAGGAATTGACGCACTATTCTCGATAGTTGTGCTTGGTTAAAAATGATGGTAATTTACTTTTAACCAATTTTCTGATAGCCCAGCGGGAAGCGTATCATGTTTATGTAAAATAATTAATTTGTGTGAATTTGGAATTTCACAAACTCGTTCGTTCGTTCGTGTCTCCTCAGATCAAGATAGTTATGTAAAGTTCCTTAACTAAAATTAAATTAAATTACATCAAGTTCTTCCATCGCTCGATTGCTGCAATGGCCGTTTCATTAACTTGAACAAGGGCCAGGTCTTCATCTGTGCATCCCGTTCCGCCGCACTGCAATTGTGGTCCATCGTCTGATTCTCTCCGCAGTCGCAGAGGGTATCTCCTTCATGGGCATAGCCCCATCTTGCCATATTGACCTTACACTGCCCCATTCTCGTCCGCATTCGATGTAGGCATTGCCACTCCGGCCACTTCAGGTTAAGTCCTTTGATGAGTACGGGCTGGGCTGATGGTAGAGGATTCTGTTCAGGTGGTGGGACAGAATCGAGGAAGCTGTTTCGGGATATAAGTCGTTTGTGGGGTTGTAAGTATCCGTATAGCATGTGTCTGTCATATGTCGCCTGCTTCATCCGTTCCTTTAGGCAGGTGTTAGTGCGCCTTTGGTTAGGAGATCCAATGCCAGCGAGGTGATATATCTCCTCAACTTATGTTGGTTTCAGGCAGCCTGTTATCTTTCGATATGTGTTATCGAGTGTGGTGTCAAGCTTCTTCACATGTGCTGATCTGCTCCAAACTGGGCAAGCATATTCTGTGGATGACATGCAGATGGCAACAGCTGCAGT